TTACTACTCCTTTTAGCCTGTGGGCATTGTTGGTCTGATACCTTTGCCATCAACATTTTGTGTACACTGTTCCATTCAATATATGTTCTCCTTTCTCTTTCCTGCCCTAAACTTCACAACTTGTGAGGGACATTATTCATTCATGTCCATTTCTATTACCTCCATTTCCCTCCTTTATTCTTGGTTTGACCTAGATAGACTTCTATGTCCTGTCTGTGCTCTTCATGTTATATTGTCCACCCAACCTCCTTTTATGGTTCCTGATCCCACCTGTCCTCTTTATGTGACCTTTTTCCTTCCATTTGAAATTCAAAAACAGCTAAAATGGGATAGAAAAAAATAATTTAAAAACAATGTTTTGCCACTGTTAACGTGGCATCATCAGGTATTCAGCACAATTGTACACAGCACTTAAGTACACCCAATTGGTGACGTCAACCATATAACCTTTAGCTAGCACAAGTATAAATTTACTCCTTGTGTTTTATTTATTAAAGGTTTGTATTCCTTTATTAAAATGGCTTCTAATATTTTATGTTTATTAATATTAGGTTCTCGACAAATAACTTTAACAATTTTATTTTCATTACAATGTTTTGTATCTTTAAAATGTGACATATCATATTTTTTTCTCTCCCATTTTAGCTGTTTCTGAGTTTAAAATTTTGTCAAGTGTGGGATACCTTCAACTTTCTGCTTCTACCTTTACAGGATGGGTTCATAAGTTTATTAGACTGGCACATTCCTCACTATCTCCTTCTTCCCACAATTGTTCCAGGTGTTGTCGCATCAGATAAGGCACCTTACTATTTCCCTGCTGTCTCACCTCTGTCATCTGTTGGAGGAAATTCTTCAGTCGGCCATGTGGACGACACTTCATATGTTCATCTCCCACTACCTTCATTGGGTGGCTGTTTCTTCCTCATTGGGGTACTGCCTTCCACCTGTCACTAGCCTTCAAACATCAGTTAGACTGTAACTTTGCAAGTTATCTCTTTCTATATATTACTGCTGCTTACATTGGCATGTCCCTTTTAGGTCTAGGATCCCTCTCAGTGGCAAGTGGTGCCTGTCTAGGTATGCTATTTATCCATCCATTCCTAAAATCTGCTCTGTACAGTCAACTATAAGTCATACCAGGGTATACTATCTGCCACCTAGTGACTTAATCACTCCAGCTCTGTGTGGTGGGTCCCAGAGGTTGATTTTGTGTGGTCCTATCCGGAGGATGATGACGTGTGGCTACTCCCAGCTACTCCTCATGCTCCACTAGAGGATGATGTTTGACAGGGTAGCTTGGTGATGGTTGTATGGACATCCCACCAAAGTTTTCTTCAGGTAGAGGCTAATCTCAGCAATATCGATGTAAACCATGGTCAATAAAGCACGCTGTAGAGATGGGGTGTTCCACAAGATTGCTAGTGGGTTTTCCTCGCAATAATTTGCTTCATCCACATGGCTGTTCCAGAACGTACTAACCTTTGAACTTTCATGAGTAAAGCAGAAGGGGATTGCTAGCCATCCCTGCCCCCCCTCAATTGAATATATCAGGGGTGGTCTGCTTCTCAAAAGAGAGTTTTTGTGGTCACTTGTTGCACTGCTTCCAATGTCGACATTCCTCCAGACTCTCCACTATGTTTCTCCCTCCAGTTTCTTATAGTAGAATATGAGAGTCCTTGCTGGTTTCCAGTTCCTAGCTGCTGGGGTGGTTGACCATAGAGGCAACCTTCTGAATGTGCTCATTTCTATTCAGTAGAGAGTAGGGCAGTAGTGTTCTTTAGGTGTAGATGGCATAGATCATCCGCTCGTGTGCTAAAACTATACAGGGGAGGATATTGCACCTATATCACTATAGTACATTCCATAAATTTGAGTAGATCTGCCACGTTGCAGTTCACCTCTCTGAATGGGATTCCTTATTGTACCATCAACTGCATATTGGTTCTTGGGGTGACTGATTTTGGATTAGAGCTGGACCAATCAAAATGAATCTGGACATGATTCCTCATCCATCCTTGGTCACAGATTTTTGCCTCATGTACTCCACCAACATGCTTTGGGACCTGAAGGTTGATGTTGCATGGATCCTGTTCAATTTGCTTCTGCTCTGTGGTTGCTTGAGGTGTCAGCCATGCACTCCAGCTTCTGTGCGGTCCTATCCAAAGGATGATGTTGCATGGGGCAAATGTTGTCCCTCTGGTGCTTTACCTCAGGCAGATGTTGCACAGAGTGGAACTGGCCCATTTGGTTTTGAATTTGAAGGGAAATATCACATTGACACATCCCTTCCTACTGTCGTTTGTATGTCAGGTTCCCTGATGACTGGTGATGATTGTGGATTTTTGCACATGTTTGTTTAGTTTACCAGTATGGAAATTTTCTCCTTCCATTTTACTCAACTTGAAGTGAAGATGATGTGGACCGTCCTCCTACCACAGGTCTGATTATGTATGGCTGATGCTGCCTGGATTTGAACTGGAGTTCACCTGCTGTGTACAGTCTGTCGCACCCTAGACACTCTACACTAAGAAACACATCCATTTTAGCTTTCCCCACCATCCGATCTCTGACTGGGGACCCTACATTCCTTCTTATCCTGGACTATGATTCTGGCAATTTCAATCTGATGTAGGGTCAGATTCACCCAGTTTTTTTCTCTCAATCGTAAGGTGTTCTCATTATTTCTACCAATTTATGCAACACATACTACCACACTGAATGAAGAGTATACCTGGTACAAAAGTGGTGTGGTCTTCTACTTGTGTTCCTCTTCCTACGAGAGTTCACACTCCATGGGTATTCTTCGAACACTTTAGAAGGATGCTTATCTACATCCCTTGCACCAGTCCCTCCACCTTTTTAATGTGTGGTTTTAGCTATTATTTAAGAAGAGGTGAGGTACTGTATCAGAAGTTATTATTTTGCTTCACTGAAAATGTATTTCTGATAGGTACTTCTCACCCTTCCTCCCCACTTAAAACTTCTGCTTACTTTCTGACTAATTTCGAAGTGATGGTTAGGTAGTATCAAACAGAGGGAGTCGCAAGTGTCAGGATGGTGTGTCACACTCCTATTGGTGGAGGGTTGTCGCATGATGATTTACATGCGAAGATGCAGTGAACCACGTTGATCGTGGGATAGGTGGAAGTTTTGAGGCTTATAGCATGTGAAAAAATTTGTGCATATAGAGAGCATCACTGAATAGCTGTTATTTGAGAGAAGGTAAGTACCTATCAGAAATATATTTTCAGTGTAGGAAAGTAATAACATTCCAGGTAGGAATTGATAAGTTTTAATAATTTTTGGCATTCTTTTCAGTGAAGTAATCATGGTAATGTGCTATGTATTAATCAGATTGTTTGTAGTTGTTGTTGAAACTATAAAAACACATTTTTAATAAGCATATTTAGCATAAAAAATCTACTTCACCTACTTCAACAAATGAGCTAAGTATACTTAACCTCTTCAACCCGGGCTCGGTCCCTGGGACCGACCTCGTAACCATTTTGTGCTTGTTATAGTTTTCATGCTATAACTTTTAAATTAGTAACCAAATGTTAACGAAATTTGACAATTTATCAGTAAACATTACAATGTTTTCATATGCAAAATATCTAGTTTTTTATTAAGTCTTAAGGTTTGTAAAGCAAAGCTTCTCTCATACCTTTTTTTTGCTTTTTGTATGTTGCCTATCTATCATACAAAGTAATTTTCATTTTAAGATTAAAAATGCTTTTATGCATCAGAAAATTTTTAAATTTCAAATAGGAAATCTTTATAATGTCGAGATAGTTATCAAACATTTCTTAAGAAAAAACTTTTTATATTATCTGTTATTTTCAGTAATTAATCTCCGTACGGGTTTGGTAAGTTTGACCAATCTCACAACCACCATAAAAAAGTAGGAAATAAACATAAATTATGCCTCTTTCATTCTAAAATGAACACATACTATAACACAAAAACATAAATATTTAGACTAAATAGCTTAAATCTCTTAACATTATACATTTATATATATTTATTATTTTTTATTATATTGATCTTTAAACCAAGCCTGGCTAACAATACAAAAGTTACAAAGACACTGCTCATGAGCACTTATGTTACAGTATCAAATAACATAAAGGTGACCTTTGGTCTGTACAAAGTAACTTGTCTTGGCTGTGTTTTATTTGACTAGTATTTTGTAAAATACAGTCACATTTCAATCATTATACATTATATAAGTTCTTAAAGTTATATTTCCTAAAACATAGAACAGTAAATAAAGAAGTAAAGCAAACAGTTATCTCTTCTAGTTATGAACTTTGTACTCGCTTGCTGCTTGACATAGGTTGCTAAGCCTTTAAAAATTTTGCATGTTGATGATATGAAACAAAATATTTTTTTTAGGTTTTATATATACATTTGAATAACTAAAAAATCATAAAATTACTACATTAATACCATAGATTTCCACTATAATTTATAAAGCCTAGTAACTAAGATGTATTTGGATGTAAAAAAATATTAAAATTTTTAATGCGAGTCAACAAACGAGATGACATGGTCCTCGACCCTGACCATAATAACAACTGTTTCGAAGGGGTTAATAGTGTAACTTTTTTGAGTCGTGCTGAAACACTAATGTTGTATTGCACCAACTAATGTTACTATAAAATATAAGAGAGAGAAATGTGTGGTAAATATTAAGTAAGAGCATTTGTAGAAATGTTTAAGGTCACATGACTTTAACTACTCAAATGATTATCACAATACTAACAGCTTCTGTCATTGATTGTTAAAGAAAAGTATGTGTGTATAAAATTTTTATTGGGGGGGGGGGGATGTTGAGATACACAACTCCAAATAAACTTTTTCTGAATTTGGTTTTGAGTTTTGATGAGGTGTAAAAAACTGTTTCACATATTATCTACAAAAGTTTAATTCATGGAAATTATTCGTGATACAGTTTTCTTCTTCAACTTCTAACTTTAATTTAATTTTCCCATTTTTAGGCTGTTTGTCGAATTTATCGCTATGGCCAATCTAAATCTTGCCACATCTACAGACTAGTAACTGACAATAGCTTAGAAAAGAAAATTTATGAAAGACAAGTTAATAAACAAGGGATGTCTAGTAAGTATTATTAAGTTTTTATCTTGTTGTTGTCATTGTTATTATTGAGCTTTATTATGTCAGTAGTCTGAGTTGGAACTTTAATTTTTTCTGTGCTTACATTATGTACATTTGTATGATGTTTACTTGTCTTATTGCTCAGTTTATATTTTACCAAGTTTACCATACAACGTCTGTAGTGGTTAACAAATTATAAACTCAGACTTTGGGTATTTGCAAGCTAGAATACAAAATAAGAACCTTCCACCTTTTAGATTTTCTGAGATATCAATGTATTTTGCAAACCTACCAGGTAGCTCCACTCACTACTCCATTCTTTTGAAACCTCTTGTCTACTCATGCCTACTTTTCTCAAGTTCATGTTTATAGCCAATAGAAAGAGCATATTCCAAACTATATAAATCTGACAGTTGTTTGTAATTGGCTTGAAGGAGAAACTTGTATGTGACTAGAAATTTTGAAGTCTGTTGAGTAAGTGGTAGTCTTAAACAGAAATTAGATTTTTTTATAACCCACATAAAGCTTAGTTAGAAAGCATGATAAATTACAGAGGTTTAATGTGTGCCAGCATTGTAATTTGATAATTTTTTGGTTTTCTAAAATACATCTTTGAAATCTACAAAAATTAATCTTCCTTCTACACTTGAGAGAATGAGTCTTACAGTGAGGCTTAGCAAGTACAATGTACGTTTACAAATCACTTTTTTAACATTGTGACTACTAGAAATCATTGTTTTTCTATATATTTTTAATGTATTGTATTATGTTATAAGAAAAATAACTAAAAATTAAGCATTTATGAATAAATAGTAATAATATATATACCTGTTCATAAGCATTTACACACTTTGTACACCTATGCCACTAAATTCCAACCATTTCAGGAGGATAATTAACATAGAAATACCTACCAAGTTTGTTGGATCAGCCTGGACTTTGTACAGACCCATGTCATAAATATTTTCTTGCACTTTTATTACTTGAGGCAATTCTCATTGCAACCAATGTACTATGAACAAGCTGATAAATCCTCTCCCACTGTGTTCTTGGAGCTGTGATTAGGATAAACTCTGTGGGAAGCTCTGGTAATTGCATCTCATGAGCTCATTTGCTATCAATGGTGTCATATTACAATGTCACATGGACAGTTTAATGACAGGAATGGTGATTCATTGCTTTATGATTGGCAGATTTCTACTTAAGCCTCTAAAAGTAAAATAATTGTAGAGAATAGATGTGAAAAAAAAGTTAGAAGTAGAAACTATCAGAGGAATTACTTTGGTACTTTGTAGTCAATACTAAAGAGGATAAAGTACTAGTACTCACTTTATTTCACATTTTTCAAACTTTTAAAGTTTTGTGGTGGTTAAGAAGCCAGCCGAAATTTACATGCTTGAATCCCGAGCTCTGTCTCGGCGATATAGTCATTTGTGTGGTCCTCGAGGCAAAGTTCTTGGGGCTTATCTTTGACCGTAAGCTTAGCTTCATTCCACACATCAAGCAGCTGCGTGTCAAGTGTGCAAGGGCTCTGAACATCCTCCGTGTCCTCTCTTCCAGCTCTTGGGGAGCGGATCGATGTTCTATGCTCAGGATCTATCGTGCTTGCTTCCGTAAGGATTGGAAGGAGGAAGTAGTCCTGGCAAGGCTATGCATTGGTCATAGTTTTTTAACCCATCGTTTTCTTTTATCGGGTATTGACCCACCGATGTGTAGCCATTGTGACACTCAAGTCACAATAGCCCACATTTTACTGTCGTTCCGTCGTTATGACCGTGAGCGGTGACTTTTATCTAAAAGTTTACCCCTGATGCTGGACAGTGTCATTGGTAATGGTGACACTGTCTGATTAGATTGTATTAACTCGCTGTATTTTTACATTTTACATTAATATACTTTCTTTGTTTTTACCAGTTGTTTGGCGCAGATAGCCTTGCTGCTTTACGCCATAAAACACCAATTAATCAAACAAACAACTAAATGCTTGAAAATTTTTGGTAAGATGCACAATACGTGTTAAAAGTTGTAATGTGGAAACTCTGATGGTCACGTGGTCAGTGTAATCCACTGAGTCAGTAGCAAAAATGTTAAGAGCTTAACCTAAATGAAATCTCTTACACACTTTCTACGTAATATATTCTTTGTGCCCTAAAATAATTAGATATTTTGGTTAAGTATTTGTGTAATAATTTATGTTGTGAATTTTTGGAAATTTTTTCTTGAATGAAATCCTGCTTTAAAAAAATCTCAAAAAATACTTCTTTTTCATCGTAATTTGTTTTTATTGTATTCCTAAAATCATATAAATGTGTTAATTGAATTATGTTTACAATAAAACTAGAATTATTGTGTCTGTGTTGCTCTAGTAAGAGCATAATTATTTTCTTATGTGTTCATACATACAAAGAAAGTAACTATTAAAAATATGAATGCAAGAAGAAAAACTGGATTTCTTTTTATATTAATAATCATAAAGTTTCATATTATATTTCCAATAAGTCCTAACTTCTTGTATTTTTAGCAGTTATTTCTCTTTGTTAATTATCTTTACCAATTGAATTGGTCATTCAGCTATAAGAATAGCTTAAAATATCGATGAACAGTAAAATTGTTGACTGGTACAAACACAACTTGCATTCTTATTCTTGGCCTAGACAGGTATAGGCAAAATTTTTCCAACTATCTATTCAGTCAAGCACAATTTCTCTATTATAATAATCATTTGTGTTAAATAACTAAGTTCTTGTACTTATATGTGTATTTTAGTTAACACACAAATAAAACGTTTTCTGTCACCTGAATAGTTTGCTGTCACAGAACTCAGCGTATCATACTCACTAACCCTAAGTATCTTTACATTATGTCTTCTCATATAAAAATGCTCCTCTAGTTCAAAAGCTTATCACAAAAGAAAAGATCATCTAAAGAAACTATAAAAAAATTCACAGTTTGTGGCTTATTACTAGGTTTTATAAATATTCGTATTAGAATCCCTTATTCTTCATTACAAGAACTTCTGCTAGTCACTTTCTTAGAAATTATGAAATATTGGTTACACCACTTTATTTACTTTATGTTGACATAGATAGACAAGGATCTTTACCACCTAATCATTTTCAGCCATTTTTCTATTTTGTTTTGTAGCTATGATTTATTAGTTACTGTCCAACTCACTTGCTGTGGCATTATAAAAGCCTCACAACACCGGAAGCTTGAAATAGGCATTGAGAGAAAACAAAAGCCTCTTGAGAAACAAAAACTTTAATAAGTCTGTTTATAAAGGGTGCCAGGGTTTGAGTAAATATAAATTCATACTTTGGAATGGGCATAAAAAATTTTTAAGAATCTGTAAGAGTATTGTTTATAGGCAATACCTCTTGGAGCTGTGCACATATCAAAGTTCAAACATTTTTTACATTTGTTTTTCAAATCATACTAAATAAATTGTGCAAAGTTACCAGATATCAATACTTCGATATTTTTTGAGTAAAAAATTAGTGAAATAGTATTAGAATTACTAATTTTACTTAAATTCTGAAATTTGATATGCAGGTGTGCCTTGACCTCAGAGAGCTTCCCAGCAGTCTTAATAGGGTTAAATAGTCAATTTAAGTGATATAAGGCTCTTTGTTAATGATAAAAAGTGTGGGATATTTTTTTTGTGTTAGAGCAAAAGTTGATTTTATAATATTGTTTATCAAAGTTGGTGATTGTAAGAAATTTTGATGAGAAGTAAAGATGAATATGTCCACTACACTACACCTCCATATCCAGTGCTGATGAAGCCTTTCACCCAATACAATTATTTTATGAGATTTTAATTACCTGATTTTAAATGTTACTGTATTTTTCAAGAATTATTTCCTATGAAGAATATAAGTGGCACTTGTTTTTTTTTTGTTTTTTTCAACAAACATTGTTGAGATAACATTTGATCTTTTAACTAATTTTATTTTATTTTTGGTGGAGGAATTCCATTCTATATAACCATACCCTGCTCTGTTTTCTTTCTGATAGATCGTGTTGTGGATGAACTAAACCCAAGTACCAACTTTACATGGGGTCAAGTTACCAACCTGCTGAACTATCAAGAAGAAGAAAACCCTGTTCCAGACCTTTCAGAGTCAGCAGCTAAAGTTACAGACCCAGTACTTCGTTACTTGTGTCAAAATATGAATTACTGCCTGAGTAAGGTAAGGTTAAAGTTTAAATAGTTGGATTTAACTATTAATAATATAGAGAATTACTTTTGCTGAAGCAATAAAGATGTTATATGGTAATTTCTTAACCCTGAATTTGGTGATAAACTAATGTGGAAAACTTCAAAATAATCAACAATGAACTACTTTATAAACATAAAAATACTATAAGCTTTTATGCATGAAGTTGTTTCTTCAGATGGAAGTATAAGAAAATATATCGAAGTAATTATTTCAGTGGCCACGCTTGCCTTTCGAAACTTGTGGTTTTTTTAACACATGCTTTCTCAAAATCTGCAAATTTATTCACTGTCAGTCACCTTTTGCAATGATACAGTGTGCAGTATACACTTTTTCAGACAGTTTAGTATTATTTTACATGTTCATAGGTTTCTTTACAATAATATTGGAGCCTCAACTGTTGTACCTATAACTACATAGTTACTCAAATGGTTTGTAACCAAGGGAATTGAATAATCATAAATAACTTTTATTAGGCAAATACATAATTAGCCAAAGTATAAATCTAGTATTTTAAATATTCATTAAGTAGCCTAAATGTAAAGTAAAACAACATAACAATAAGAATAACAGCAATTTATTTTGTAAAATATGACTTCGTAGTCATAATTTTATCTTAAAAACTTTGAAAACCATTAGGGAATGAATAAGGATGCTTGGAACATTTTTGACATTGTATTACATAAAAAAAAAAACCTTGGTAATTTAAACCAGTAAGTATATCTTGTTATATCCACACTTTAGGAACACAGTACTTTTATTTTTATTAAAATTTCCTAAATATATATATATATATGTATATATCACAAGGAATTTTGCGAAAACATGACATGAAATTAATATGCTTACATTTTACAATACTGGCTGGAATAAAGTGTCAGACATATGTACTGAGAAATCAATAAGACAGACAACTTGTATATATTAGCATTACTGCTTACTAGGGTTTATTGAAGCTGCATGTCATTACAGTCAGAGTTGTTTTCACTTCTCAGTGCTTCCTACAATATATATGTAGTAGAGCTAGTCTTAATTCAACTGGATTTTGTTGGTATAAATAGGATAATGACTAAACACAAGTTAATGGTGTTACATAATATTGATTTGTTAGATTATTATAAAATGTAAACTAGACAAGGTCTAGTAATGAAAATTGATTAGTGAATTTACATATTTAATTCATCACATCGTTAAAAGGCTGGCAGGAAAAGTGGATAAAGAATACTGCTTCGGAAACAGGGGAGGGGTTGCAGAATTGGTAGTGTTTGCCCCATGATCAAACATAACTTATATTGTTACAAACATGACATCGACAATGTAAAAGAAAAGAAATTTTATAGTTTATTTAACACAATCTAAAAACAGATTTGACTTGACACATTATCAGGAATGGATCAAGGGCTTTGTAGAGGGGTCCAACTAGACTTTTATTAGCAATACATATAAATTTACTTTAATGTCACTGTAGTACTGTTAAATATGGAGGAGGGTCTAGACACCCTGGACCTTCTCCCCTAGATTCATGCATGCTTATACAAAACTGAATAATACACTTACCAAATAAAATTAGAAACACAACACAATGTAAAAAACAGTAAATTTACGTTTTAAAGGAAGAGTTAGTGGTGAGTGTTGATAAAAAGCTATCTTCCTTATAGTCTACAGTTCAAAATTAGTGACAGTAACAGATAGCCTTCATGTAACACTTAAGTAGCCAAAGACTTGGTGGTGGGTGTTGTCAGCTAGTTGCATTCCCTCTAGCCAGCAGTTCAAAATGAATGACAGTAATTTTTATAGTCTCTATTTAACACTCAAGTAGCCAGAGAGTTGGCAGTTGATGCTGTCAGTCAGTTGCCTTCCCTTCGATTAGTTGTATTTTTGTGATATTAATTGATTATTGCAACAATTAAAAACAGTACTAATCGGAAATGCTAGCTTCATGTAATGGATTACTTACGAGCAACGATTAGTTGATTAATAAAAAAAAATTAACAGATTAATCACAACTCGAGAGTAATTGATTAATCAGTTAGTTTGACCAGCTCTAACACCAACTGCATTTATTGCACTTGAAGTATCTTTCCACTTTGCAGGTGCAAGTAAAAGGACATATAAGATCCCATACTGATGTTTTCTTAGTGTTCTTCTTTCATTTTCTATGCTTTAATTTGGAAATAGCACAAAAAACGTACTGAACTTTTGGTTGAAAAATGGAAAATACTTGTCAAAAGAAGGGCAAAGAATGTTGAATAACTTCCCAGTAAAAAAGTTACTGACATTTCATAAATACAGAATGAATGCTTTAATATACAGTGATTGTATTAGTATCTTTTAATATATTCCAAAATTTTCTAAGTTTTACTTACTTTAGATTTACCACCAAGCTTGACTTGGTTAAGTCACAACCTTAGGGTTAAGTTTAGTAAATAACACATGTTTTTCAAAAATGAAAGGTAGGAAGCTATGAAGAGTACTCTTCATTTTTGGAAATTAGCAAATAAGTTTTCAGTGGATTCTGAAAAGTTATCAGTCATTTAATAGTGCATTCATACAAGTTTTCTGAAATCTAAATTTTATGGCAGATAAAGTAGCTATTTTGAACTTTGAGCAATTTATAGAATTTTTTCAGCGTGGGATTCTAGCTTTGGGTGAAAGGAGATAGTACTGTTTCATAAGTTGATATTCTCTTGCACTGAAATTGTATTTCCGATAGGTACTTACCTCCTCTCATCCACTTCCCACTTTTCCTCCCCACTGATTGTGCTGCAATGGTAGAGGGAGCTACTTGCAGTAGTATAGGTGGCACAGTATAATTGGGGGGGGGGGGGGTAATCACATGATCAGCACATGTTGCTGCAATGGCTCAAAAATGAAGGGGTATAATAGATGGTGCACTGTTGAAAATTTTAGCAATACTTAGAGGGCAAATCAAAGTCGAGATAGCTTTGGGTGAAGGAGGTAAGTACCTATTGGAAATACGTTTTCAGCATTAGAAAATGTTAACTTTCAAGTCAACAACTAGGGACTATAAAAAGTAAACAAACTAGGCTGGAAATAGTCTACATTATTTAGAGTCCCTAGTTGTAGGTTTGAAAATATAATCTTTGCATTTTGATTCAGTCTATTTCTGTACAATCCCTATTCCCTGTTTAAATTAACAATTTTTAATTATCCTGTTTCTTAAATTTTTTATGTCCATCGAGTAGAAAGGAAGCCTTATATATATTATGTATTTACAGCTACGTAAATCAACTTTCAAAGAAAAATAATCAACTTTTTAAATATGTCATGGACATTCATGGTATTTCATAGAGTATATCTATCTAGGTTTTGGTGTAAAATACCCAGCCAATTTTGCTGTAGGCTTATGAAACAAAAATATGAATAATAATAATAAAATACGCACTTACAATTTCAGAAAAATACGAAAATCAGTAGAATAAACTACCACTCACAAGAGTAGAGAATTCTACTGTAGTAATTGTCTACTGTTAGAAAAATCACTGAAATAGTCGCAGAAAACCACATAGAGACAAAGTGCAATAGCAAACTTGAGAAACAATAAAGAACAGCAAACTCAAAAAATGATGAATTTTCAATGTGACAGTTTTCAATTAATGTGAAATAAGTTGCACAAATTATTTTTCAGTTAATACACATTAGTAAAACACTGGATTTTTTCAAGAGCAGAAAGTGAAGGGCTTGGAGAAATTCTTCATTCCAAAACATACTTACCTCTGCTGACACTATAACTACTTCTCGATCTTCAGAGTTTTCACATTTTGCCCATCTAAGCACTGAAAATGCTTGCTCCAGTCTTTTATACCCCACTCGAATGCTCTTGGCAAATTCTAATTTGCAAAATTCTCCACCAACTTTAATGCACCCTTATAAACATACCCATTGTTTACTCTAATAAAACAAAGCATTTCCAAATAGTATAACAGTGCTTAAATTACTTGTACATTTCTGCAATGTTATATGGCTTCCAAGAGCTTATGTTGGTAAGGACAAAGAATCTCGACTTTCAAGAATCAACTTTAAAATAGCCCTACAACCTTCATGGGAATTTGTTTAGTAGCTGTGCATAGAATTTGGTGCAGTATACTTAGCTATTTTCACTGTAGGCTTTGGTGCTTGAATGGCTTTAAGTAGAAACTGGGCCAGTAGCAATGAAAAAACTGAAAATCTCTCCTTCTATTTCAAGAATCAACGTAAAAATAGTCCTATGACCTGTGCAGGAGTTTTTTAGTAGATTTGCCCAGGTTTGAATAAAATATTCATATCTGTTTTTTCTGTAGACATGTAAAACAATGATAATGAATATTAATAATAATATGAAGAACAAATGGATGAATTTTGTCTAACAGTTGGAAAATCAACTTTTTTGCTATTATCAATATTTTAACAGCCTTAGCCATTGAGAGAGAAGGTCTTTGAGTGTTGTTTCAAGAATAAGCCTGCTTTTTAAAATGCTTTTTGCCCATATGTTCTGTTAGAATTTTTGATATTCCTGGGCATTCCCTATTATGAACCACTATTGTGGTTCATGATATTACTATTACAAGGAATATTTTATATTTTTAGCATATTATAGGATTTAGGGCTAATCTAAATTTCCTAAGCTGGCTGAACCTTGTGAGATATTATTAGGATTGTGACTTAAGATAATGATAAAAGCAAGAGTATCCAGCTGATGAAAGAATGCATTTTGAACATTATAGATTTTTTTTTGTGACATTCTGTACTGCTGGTTTAATAAATTAGTATATTAAATTAATTACATTAATTATTATGTTGATTTTTAGTTCAGATCTATGTAAGTAATTTTTTTTTATCATAAGTTATTGATAATGAGTAGTGTTAAAATTTAATACCTAATACACATTGTTCTGCTTTTGCTTTTCTTTGATGAATGGTAAATAAATGTAACCAGCATGTACACATGTTTTGTCTTTTTACTTTTGTTAAGGTTTCTAGCATGATTTTTTTTTTCACCAGGAACCATTTGAACACGAATCTTTATTGATTGATCGGAAAGAGCTCAAGCTTACAAAGCAGGAAAAACGTTTAGCCAAGCAGACGTATGAACTGGAGAAAAGAGCTAACATGTGTTCAGGTGGTTTTATGAGACCAGTTTATTTAAATAATGGACAGTTTTCTGCAAATCCTCTTGGCAGGTAATTTATCAGTATTCATAGATAACATGTGCTTTTTAAATTTTTTTAGGTAACTGTTTAATGGAGCGTATCAATTAAATCTGGTTTGTATTTGTGAATGTTAATAAAAATCATAGGTAGCTTATTTTAAATGTCTAATGTTTGCTCAGGCCTCCACTCTATGGCTCTCCTCGAGGCTATCCTGGAGGTTTGTACTCTCGACCTCAGCAGTCCACTCCAGTTCCAATGCAGCCTATGGGTAATATGGCAGGAGGTCGCCAGTTATCACCCTATGTCAGTCTCATTCAGTCTCTTATCAGGCAGGGTGTAAATGTCCAACGGGTTACAGTGCCAAATAGTGAGTTTGTGTGTATTGTTTTGTGGTTAGTCTTTCAAATGTTAACTTAAAAATTATTCCTTTAGTTTTAATTATTATATGTGAAAGTGGAAGTAATGGGTCTTTTTTATTTGTATCTTAATTTTCATTTGTAGTTTATTGGAAATTATGTACTTCATGTGTACTGTTGGAAACCTCTGTGTGTGTAAGATGACACTAAATTTAAATTTTTGTTATTATTGATGGTACTCCAATAATAAACAAGGTGTATGAATCCTTTCTGATATTTCAGTGGTAAACAGCAGCTTACTAACTTTGTCACCACATTACCTACTCATTGTTTGATCCATTTTATGGTTTCTCATGTTGTTTGGTGCTTTACTGTATCACTTGATATTTGTTTGAAGTTTGTAAACCTACAGAGAAAGAAGTTATGTATTTGCATGTAATCTTCACAAGCTAATTTATAGAATTGTTCTGCTTTAAAAAACAACATAACAGCTGTGTGTGT